GATGATTCATCATGCTGCACACAGTGACTCCAATACAGATGCAAAAAACATTCTATTTTAGCAATAGTAACAATTATGTGGCAGGGTCCAGAATTACTGATGGTGTATCACTGCTTAAGAAATAGATCATTAAAGCCATCCATAACGATTACGAAATAAATCTTTTTATATATTACTGATAATATTCTATATTACCCATTGGTATGTCTAGCTATTACAGACCTTGGTCTAAAAACCATGTCAATTTAGGAATACTTTATAATATTTAATAGTAATACTTACATTACAAAGAATACTTCTCTGAAACCTTGCAAGTAGCATAGCAGGCCCATTACGTAGCACTGCTCTGTTCTGAACGCAGCATCCTCAGTGCTGTAGCCCAGTGTCACTGCATGCTCCACTGGCACAGAGCCCGTTTCAGTATCAGTAGGAAGCACAGTCCTTTCTGCTTGTGTTTATTTGCAGACCTATGGCACCTTCTGAGGCAGCAGAAACATTAACCTCCTGTGAAATTAAACAGTCTGACCAAGAACAGTTATACTGTGCTGCAGATCTCGAAGTGCTGTCTGAGGTGGACAAATGAAGTTCTGTATTTCATGATAAAGCAACACTTTATCATGATAAAGCAAAGCATGTTTTGTGAGCTCAGGGGAGCTTATTAAATCAGGGGCTCTTTTAAAGCTCAGCTATTATAGTTAAATATGGGGAGTATCCTGCTAATCCAAGGATTTACTCTGTGGACTAGTATGTTGAGGTTTAGACATGAGACAGAGACTTGCCAAGTATGACATCCTTCTTCAAGTGGCACAGGTTTTGATGGGGAAAATTCCTTGGAAGTTCAAGTCACTCCAAGCAGCAGCAATGTTTAGATTACTCACTTTTTTCTAGCACAGTCAGAGAGAGGTAATATATGTCACTAAAGGACTAAGATTTATAAAAACATACTGCAGAGTATTTAGTTTTCCTTCACATTGAAACCACAGAATTTTTTTTTTATTTTGTGGATCTTTTTCCTCCATCTTGTATTCTTGGTAGAGGTGAATATTAATCTATATTGCTAATCTTTGCTCAAAGCTTTCCCAGGTATTTTGGGGACTGTGCTTTTGCTTCTGTGGCGCGTTTCTGTATAGGTCCCTTTGGCAGTAAAGGCAGCAGTCCCTCAGAGGTTACACTGTGTTGTTCTTGGTGGAACAACTTCAGGCACTTCAACAATAGAGTAGCAAAAATCTCTGGCATTAACTTTTGGATTTGTCTGCTTGTTCTGGCTGGGATGGAGCTAGATTTCTTCACAGCAGCCTGTATGGTGGTGTGTTTTGGATCTATGGCTCAAACAGTGTTTCTAACACCCCAGTGTGTTGGTTATTGCTGAGCAGTGCTTGCACAGCATTGTAGCCTCTTTTTCCCTTTTTTGCTCCACAGAGAGCAGCCGGGGATGGGTGAGGCTGCGGGAGGACAGAGCCAGGAGAGCTCACCCCAGGTGTCCAGAGGGATGTCCCATGCCATAGAGTATCATGGTCAGCAATAATATTTGAGGGGTGGGAAGTGACTCGGGGCTCCAAGGCTGGATAGGCAACTGTCTGCTTGTGGGAGGTAGTGACGGAATGCCACTGCATCATTGTTTTGGTTTGGTTTTCCTTGAAACAATCTTTACTTCAGCCAACGAGCTTTCTCACTTTTGCTCTTCCCATTTTCTATCCCCACCTCGCTGGGGGGGAGTGAGTGCCTGCACGGTACTCAGCTGATGGCTGTGGTCAGCCTACCCGTGTACAATGCATTTGTCTTTGAAACTGTGTTTCTAGTTTTGTAAATAATTTAAAGCATAATGAAAAATTAATAATTGCTGCAAATCATGCAGCTAGTTCCTGAATTAGTGGGGGCTGCATGAGACCATGGTAAATATGTACAAATATGTTTGCTTTCATTTAAATTTAAGTTGCAACAAGCAATTGCCCAGTGGCAAAGCACTACATGCTCAGCTGCCTCATACAGGATCATAGAATAGTTAGGGTTGGAAAGGACCTTAAGATCATCTAGTTCCAACCCCTCTGCCATGGGCAGGGACACCTCACACTAAACCATGTCACCCAAGGCTCTGTCCAATCTGGACTTGAACACCGCCAGCGATGAAGATTTCACAACTTCCCTGGGCAACCCATTCCAGTGCCTCACCACCCTTACAGGAAAGAACTTCTTCCTTATATCCAATCTAAACTTCCCCTGTTTAAGTTTTAACCTGTTAACCCCTTGTCCTATCACTACAGTCCCTAATGAAGAGTCCCTCTCCAGCATCCCTATAGGCCCCCTTCAGATACTGGAAGGCTGCTATGAGGTCTCCACGCATCCTTCTCTTCTCCAGGCTGAACAGCCCCAACTTTCTCAGCCTGTAATCACACGAGAGGTGCTGCAGTCCCCTGATCATCCTCGTGGCCCTCCTCTGGACTTGTTCCAGCAGTTCCATGTCCTTTTTATGTTGAGGACACCAGAACTGCCCACAACACTCCAGGTGAGGTCTCACAAGACCAGAGTAGAGGGGCAGGATCACCTCCTTCGACCTGCTGGTCACACTCCTGATGCAGCCCAGGATATGATTGGCTTTCTGGGCTGCGAGCGCACACTGTTGGCTCATGTTAAATTTGTCATTGACCGACACCCCCAAGTCCTTCTCTGCAGGGCTGCTCTGGATTTTACACTTTACACTGGGACTGAACTTAGACATTTGGGAGGGTTTGCCACATGCACTTTTGTAATGTTTTTTTGTTTGTTGTTTTTGGTTTGTTTGTTGTTTGTTTTTTTTGGTGGGGTGGGGGTTGGTGGGTTTTTTTGTTTTTGTTTTTTTTTTTTTTCCACAGAAGTTACCCCATAGGCAAAAGGTTTAAGATACTTATCTAATAGTGAAGGGGCAGTGAGTTTTGTAGCTTTGAAAGAAAGGAAAGTGTAAATATTTTACAGTTTGCAGGAACCTCTCAGGAATAGATTTAAGTTTTAATAGTGCCTGTAAGCCATCCTTTGTGCCAAATACCAGAATACAATATGAGGCATATTTACTGCAGAGTCACAGTTGCAAATTCATATTGTAGTTCTGTAATAGTTATTAAATATTTATTATCTGTCAAACACAAATGTTTTAAAATATATGTAATTGTAATCACTAAAGCACAATAGTGAGCATGTTTATGGGTAATGATAGCTGTGGCCCTTTTTACTGAGAAGTTCAAATTACAGTTGTCTGACAAATTCCTGAGATTTGGGGAAGAAATAAAAAATGGGATTTATATGGGATGAATACTGAGAAAATTATCATCTTGAAAGGGTAGTTACATGTTTCTTAATGTAAATAATTATCACACTCAGCTATTGAGACAGCCAGTCATACAAACAAAGTGTCCTGGAATAGTGCATACTACATTGAAAACTGAATCGTTTTTAACCACTGTAGCACAATGTCAAGTGATTTAAGGGTTTAAAAATCTTATACTACATTTTAGCAAGAATGCCATAAAATAAATTCAGTATTATACCTGCTAAACCTACAGTTTGTTTTTCATTTCAGTGAAAAAAAAAAAAAATCATATTGCCAGTTTTATGGGGTTTAATTCAATTTCAGTATGTTAATAGAGAATCATAGAATGGTTTGGGTTGGAAGGGACCTTAAAGCTCATCCACTTCCAACCCTCTGCCAAAGGCAGGGACACCTCCCACTAGACCAGGTTGCCCCAGGCCCCGTCCAGCCTGGCCTTGAACACTGCCAGGGATGGGGCAGCCACAGGTTCTCTGGGCAGCCTGTGCCAGTGCCTCAGCACCCTTATAGTAGTAAGTAGCTAAGGTTCTTCTGCAAGTAGTGTAAGTTCTAGTGTATGTTAGTGCAGTAATACAAATCAGTTAACAGAGTCTGAAGGTCAGCAAGAGCTGAACAGAGGAGTAAACTGATCCTTTTTTCTCTGAAAAAAATGACTTGATATTTTTAATTTTAATCTTATTAAAATGTGATGTTATTTACAGTCAAGCTTAGATGTGTTAATATTTGTTAATTGGAATTGGGTACTGGAGACCTGTGTAGCTGATGAGCTTACTATATTTTTCCACTAGAAGGCCCATGTGAGAACAGTGAGAATACTCAAAGTAATAGTGTTTTTTATGCTAAGTGAAGAATATGATGATTTTCAAGGAATAAACTTGACTCAAACTGGGAAAAATGAGTACTAGTTTACCTCCTGTTAGCCTTTGGTAGATAGTAGAATGGTAACAGAACAAAATCTGCTTGTTTTAATCACGTGTTTATGTTACAATAGTATTTTCAATATTCAGGACTTTCTGCAGATTTACATGGGGTCTCTTTTTTACATTCTTTTTCCTTTATGAAATACCTAGTTTTAAGTGAGTGTGTGTATTTGAGTGCCATTAAATTGTTTCTGGTCTACATTTTTGTAGCTTAGTATAATTAAACTAGTATTAATGAGAATACTTTCATAGTGCTGCAGCTGCAAAGGATAGAAAAACTGATAACACGCAGCTGACTTGTGCCTCTGTCAGTATCTAGGTATCTGAACCTAAAGCCAGGCAACACACAGGAAAACCCCAGAGTGCCATGAGTTCCAGCAGAAAAACTAGAAACAGTGAATAAATTGATTAGAACTCAGAAACAGCTCCATCTCAAAAGAGAGGGTGTTCATGAATCCTTCAGGAAGCTTGTGAATATCTTTTGCTTGTATTTGATTGGCTTGTTTGTTGGCTTGTTTGAGGGATTTTACTCATTTCTGCTACTGAATTAAGATTTTGTTTAGCAATAATAATGTGGATGACAGTGCTGTCGTTTGCTTCCAAATGGCTGTATGACATACGTATCACAGTTTAGAGCATTTTGAATTCCAACTGTGGGATGTTGATGGAAAGGTAGGTGAAGAATTAAGTGGGTGAATCACCCTGCGTTTTCATAATTAGCCATCTTTCTTTGCCATTTGCATGTAGCAGAACTTAGGTTCTTGTTCTTTTGGCTTTTTCAGGTATGAATACAAGCAAGAGTGAGACAGTGAAAGAACATCCATTAAAACCCTCTCGAAGATCTATGCCATGCCTAGCTCAGAGCCAAACACATCCTCAAAGTCTGAGCAAGCATTCATCTTTTCTGCAGCCAAATCGTGTGCAGCCACAGCCCCGACCTCAGCCTCTCAGTGCAGGAACATCTACAGCTACAGTGGATGTGGTGTCAGAACGAGGTAGGAGTGTTTTCTCTTTCAGGAGCTTGTTCCAACCCTGGGAATGAAAGGGTTCTATGGGAACATGACTTGATGTCCTGTGGTGTCTTAAATATAATCTTTCAGTATATAAGGGCATCTGATAAGCTTTGGTTTGTCTAGATATCTACAGTTTCTTGGAGAGACCTTTTTGGCATCTGAACAGCTAGAAGAGCTATGGTACTAAGCTCTTGAGTGAATCTCTATAATGTTTGAAGTGAGGCTTAAGCTATTCTTTTTTTCCCTTCATGCTGAAAACAAGACAAGAATGTGCTCTTGTATGTTGGGGAATAGCATAAAGGTTCCTATAGTTTGTTCAGAAGAGAGAGAAAAAATAAATATTAGGCTTTTGGCAAGAAGTGTCTTTAAGTATGAACATTCAGGAGCAGATGCATTCATTCATTCATGAGCAGAATCAGGGAAGATTAGTATGGAGAGAGTCACCAGCAGCTTTAAAAAGTTTAAAACTTTTTACTTAAAAAATACATATGAATGCTGATATGAATATTGCATTTATTTCAGCTAAAGTGATGGAGACTTTGGAAAACAACTTGCTTAAGCTGTCTAATACAGAATATGATGATCCGTTTTTAGGTAAGTTTGTGTTTGAACTTAAATAATAGTAATTAACAATTCTTTGATTACACTTGCAGTACCTAAATGTGGAAAGACAATACTTTCCCTCAACTGCCAGGTTTTTTGAAAGTGAAGACTAAATGTGACTAAGGAAATACATGCTATTTTAGATTTCCTGATACTTTTTCACCTTTTGGACTAATAGTGAATAGAGACTAAACGCAGAGAAGTTGTTTTTTTTTCATACGTTCAGTGTATGTCTTTGAAATTTCTTTGAAATCGTTGTTATTATTATGTGCTGGTTATTATTCCTCTATAGTCATATTATTCAGTATTGTCATGGCTGCAGTTGCTATGTTGTTGGCTTTGCTTTATATATTCATGTATGTTTGCTTTAGATGCTCATGTATAAAAAGTGTTCCAACCTGCAAAAAACTAAACCTGACAATACAGAAGAAGAGCTGTAATTGGGACATATGTGTACCTGCATTAATGCCATTTTGATGCTTTAATTAAGTCAAAGAAAATAGGAAAGGAGTTAATAGTCCCATCCTTGCAACTGCAAAATGAATCTGTATATAAAAACACAACTGGTAATTTGCAAGTTCAAAATTTAATTAATTTTGAAATTCCCTGGCCGTTTATTACCTATTGGAATGAATTACACACAGATACTGCTGCATCTTGCACAAGTACTGTGAAGGAACTTTTTACTCACAGTCAGTGTAGCATCAAACTAGTAATCGGATCTTTATGCTGAAGGAGAGAGATGTGCTTTCAGAAAGCTATTTCTGCTCACCTCTCACATGTTTTAACATTGATTTTTCTTCATGCCCAACATACATGCTAGTTAAGAGGTTCTTCAAGGTCTTCCAAAGGGATCGCAGCTGGAAATGTGAGTGAAATTGATAGGTCCTCCAAAACAAAATCAAAATGTTCCAAAATCATGACACAGACCAAAAATTTGGCATGAAGATTGTTTAAGAAAATCATGTGTCTAAGTAAGATTCCAGTTGAAGCCACTGCACTCATTCAGTATAATTGGTTTGATTTGGTAGGCAAGCATGGGTACCTGAAAATCTCACTGTTTATCATTTCCTTCAGTTTTGTTTTTTTTTTATATCTGGTTCTATGTTTTACTAATTGCTTACACATACATGTGCTGGTACTATTATGTGCTTATGTATGGCAGAAGTAATTCTTTCTCATAGTGAGTGATGCACTGCTTTTCATTCGCGTCATCTAATTTTAACCTGGAAAGAAACATAGAGGGAGCTCAGTGATTGAGGAAAAGATAGACGAGTATCCTCAGCAAACCATTGTATTAAACTTTGGTGTGGATGTTTCTCCTCTCTGACTTCAGCTATGCTCTTTGAAGAGATTGATTTTACCCTGAATCTGGAGGGTTAAAAAAAAAAAAAAGGAATCTTGCTGCTTGAACCTTCATCACCAAATGGGTGAAACTGCGGCAGCACTGCTACTTTTTAGTCAGTACTCTGGCATTTTGATTGAGTTTGCAAAATCGGCTGATTAATGGCTATCATCTTCTTAGTGAACCTTTCCAAACTGCTCTCCTGAGAACCTGAAAAGAATGCTGAGTTAAGTGCATGTGGTGAATTTTTAATTAAGCTGCATCATGGAACTGTGCATAAAATAGGCCAAATGGCTTTTTCCTCTTCCAGAAACGTAGCTTTTTCCTCTTCCAGAATTGTGTCCATAGACAAACTGTTGTCTTGTGAGAAAGGGATTAACAAGCATCATGTAAAAGACTTCTGTGGAAAGTTTCTCTTTTGTTTTAGTTGACTGTAGATAAGACCATATATCTATTTAACTTATAAATGTCTTGCACCTTTGTTACTGCTAACGCAGGCAGATGGGGTCAAGGATGTTACGGACTTACATTCTTTATCCTCTGTCAGTTTTAGGTGGTAAGTAGTATTTCTAATTTGAAGAATCAGGCAATTCAAGTGAAGTTACATGCAGTGAGGTTCTGCAACATGAGCTATGAGGTTTCAGATGGAATGCTTGGTGCTTAGCCAAAGCTTCGTGGAAATTTCCACGTATTGAAGGTTATAATCAGAGCTTTTTGATTTACCTAGGTGGAAGTTGCCTACTGCTTGGATCTGGACATTAAGTAAAACATTATTCCTTACAATTCTCAAGGTGGTCATAGAATTTAGTTGTTTTTTTTTTCCTGTATATTTGCATTATGGAAGAGTATGAAGTTCTGTTTAAAGTGACCTTTGTCACTTGTTGTGACTTGAGTTCACAAATAAGATTGGAGTTGCCACTTCACCGAAGAATGTTAATCCCTCCAGCTCTACTGCAGTTTATTTTAATATTTTTACTTATCAAATGAGTGAAAGATTCCTGCTTTTTGACTGTTAAGAAAATGTCTTTTTACCTAAGAACTCCAAGAGAGGAATATGCCTGCTAACCAGTATAATGTAATTAGTGAATAACTAATTACAGTGAATTTATTCATGACAACTCAACGCAATCATTTTTGTCAGCTCATTAGGTGCAAGTAACTAGCCAAATCCTATAAAGCATACACACGGGGGAATTTTCTGAATAAGCTTTTTTGATGAGAACACTTCAGTTTGTCAAGAATTTTTCAGGATTATTTATACAAGGTTAGGAGGGGGGGCAGGATTTCTGCCATGGGCGAGACCACTGTAGAGCAACCAGTACCCTTCTACGGAAGCAGTGTTAGGGAAGAGGGAGACTAAAGTTGGTTCCAGTTACTGAATTGTACAGAAAAGACCATCATGAAGTTACAGACTGTCTTGAGGCAATACTTGAAATTTTTTCCTGAAAGATGCCTGAAGTTTTTGTTCTAGTATGAAATGTCAGGACTTCAGAGCAATTTTCATAGGCACGGTAGAAGTATTTCCTGTCTAGGTATATATCTTTGATACCAGATGTCAAAGATGATGCTGATGTGAGATGACAGAGGCATCTAGGCTAAGTATCAGTGCAGTATTTTAGGTAACAAGAATATACCTGGGATACAGGATTTACTTTGACAGCTGTCTCATGTTGATGCAATAGTCACAAATACCTAAAAGGCATATATTTAGCAAAACAGGAAAAAAGTTTTTGGCAATTTTTTGGAATTGTTAGGATCTTTTAAGAAGTAAATACATGAAAAACTAAAATACTTGTGTTGTATTTGTGGATACGTGTAAATTTGTGCTACACAAGAATCTGGATGTTAAACTCTGAACTCATTTGTACAACAGTATAATTCCAATGTCATCCACTTTTTAATACATTAGCCAGTCACACCAATGACACTTGGAGATTTGACATTCATTCTATCAAAGGGAATTCAACCTTATATTTTTCAAAGCCTTTTGCCTGTGGATACTAGCTGAAAAACACCAATGAATAACACAGATGCATATTTATATTACATTTTGGTTTTACTGCGCTTTGTTTTTCTTCTGAAAGACATGCCCAGCAATTACTTTGTGCCAGGTTTTAAATGACATAACTTTAGCTTCAGTTGCTAAACTTGTATCTTTCCTGGAGCTACCAATAATAGCTCATGGCTTCAGTTGTAGCTGGAAAAAGGAAGTGGGGTATAATTTACTCCTAGTAGCCACATAGTAGCTACAGAGAGTCACGTTAATAAAAAATTGTTTTCCTCTAGATAGAACTTTTTTTTTATATAAATTCTAGCAACATAAAATAATTTGGCATACATTACAGTTAACTAATTTGAGTTAGATAATCTAGGAGCTGCTCCACTGGTATATGCACACTTCTGTGTGTACACACATGTATAAATCGTAGAATCATAGAATCGTTAGGGTTGGAAAGGACCTTAAGATCATGCAGTTCCAAACCCCCTGCCATGGGCAAGGACACCTCACACTAAACCATATAACCCAAGGCTCTGTCCAACCTGGTCTTGAACACTGCCAGGGATGGAGCACTCACAGCCTCCCTGGGCAATCCATTCCAGTGCCTCACCACCCTTACAGGAAAGAATTTCTTCCTTATATCCAATCTAAACTTCCCCTGTTTAAGTTTGAACCCGCTACCCCTTGTCCTGTCAGTACAGTCCCTAAGAGTCCCTCCCCAGAATCCTTACAGGCCCCCTTCAGATACTGGAAGGCTGCTATGAGGTCTCCACACAGCCTTCTCTTCTCCAGGCTGAACAGCCCCAACTTTTAGCCTGTCTTCATACGGGAGGTGCTCCAGTCCCCTGATCATCCTCGTGGCCCTTCTCTGGACTTGTTCCAGCAGTTCCATGTACTTTTTATGTTGAGGACACCAGAACTGCCCACAGTACTCCAAGTGAGGTCTCATGAGAGCAGAGTAAAGGGGCAGGATCACCTCCTTTGACCTGCTGGTCATGCTCCTTTTGATGCAGCCCAGGATACGGTTGGCTTTCTGGGTTGTGAGCGCACACTGTTGGCTCATGTCAAATTTGTCATTGACCAACACCCCCAAGTCCTTCTCCACAGGGCTGCTCTGAATCTCTTCTCTGCTCAGCCTCTAGCTGTGCCTGGGATTGCTCTGACCCAGGTGTAGGACCTTGCACTTGGCATGGTTAAACTTCATGAGGTTGGCATCAACCCACCTCACAAGTGTGTCAAGGTCCCTCTGGATGGCATTCCTTCTGTCCAGCGTGTCAACCGAACCACACAGCTTGGTGTCATCGGCACACTTGCTGAGGGCACACTCAATCCCACTGTCCATGTCAGCAACGAAGATATTAAACAAGACCAGTCCCAACATGGATCCCTGAGGGACACCACTTGTTACTGGTCTCCAGGCGGACATTGAGCCATTGACCACAACTCTTTGTGTGCGGCCATCCAGCCAGTTCTTTATCCACCGAGTGGTCCATCCATCAAATTGATGTCTCTCCAATTTAGAGACAAGGATGTCGTGTGGGACAGTGTCGAACGCTTTGCACAAGTCCAGGTAGATGATGTCATCTGCTCTACCCCTGTCCATCACTTCCGTAGCCCCATCATAGACGGCCACCAAATTGGTCAGGC